GAAGTAGTAGTGGTAGCAGTAGTAGTAGCAGTAACAGTAGCAGTTGGAGTAGCAGAAGTAGTACTAGTAGTAGTAGTAGTAGTAGTAGTAGTAGTAGTAGTAGTAGTAATAGTAGTATTAGTAGTAGTAGTAGTAGTAGTAGTAGTAGTAGTAGTGGTGTAGTAGTAGTAGTAGTAGTAGTAGTAGTAGTAGTAGTATATAGTAGTAGTATAGCAGTAGACGATAGGCGCTATTGAAACGAAGTACCAGCAAACAAAGGAGATTCTGAAGCGGTTTCATCCACGGCGCAGTTGCACGAGAGCGTTCCGAGCGCGTTGCTACAGGCCCTTGCGCCGAGCGGCATGCCTCAACCCTGCTTTCGAAGCTAAGGGCATCGAATGTTTATGGATTGGTTGTCCGTGCCACAGCATCTTTCGTTCCGGCAAAGGTAGCTTGTTGCCTTGCCAATCTGTGGCGCAAAGCCATCGGCACACCCGTGCGAGTTTCAGCTGCATGCTTGCTGCTAGACCGCTAGAATGCGGAGGATGGGTTGACTTGGAGCTGCTTGCGCCCACGGGCACGAATTCTCCTGGTTTCGAGAAGTCTTTGCAAACTCGAAGCATTGTTGGCGCCTGAATTGAGCACGAGTGCCGTGCATCGTCGTCGCATTTCGTTCATGCTTCGAAACCTACACATTGTGGCTTTGCATTGCTGAAACTCTGGCTGACTTTTTTTTGCGAGATTCGCGTTGCCAACTATTAACAGCTCCACGTCACCATTGACACGACATGTCGCAGCGAGTAGTAGTGGAATTGTCAGTTGAGACTTTCTCCGTATTTTCCAGACAATTCTGGAAACCGCGAACCAAATCAACTGATGCGCTGACGGCATGGTTTGGGTCCATGAAAAAGCCCATGCGTGCAAAGCAGCTGCCAGCGCCCGTTCAGCCCAAGCCAGGACCACGTGGAAACGGCTTTTTGAGCTTCGTGAGCAGCTCTACGAGCCGGTAAAGGACTGTGACGGAGTCAGCTCGTGTCTTCAGTTGCCGCATTGTCGCCGAGGTGCTTTTTTCGGTTACGGAATCGGAATGAACATTTAAGCTTGGCTTTGAAGATCGAAGTCATGGCAATGTGGTTTTCGATCTCCGTCTGTGCTTGATTTGGGTCCGGGTGTGTTCGTAAGATTCACGATATATATATATATATTCAACATGTATTGGGTTGTTTGCTTGCTGGTTGCATGTTGCCCCAGAAATCCACCAATTTATATGAGCTCGCAGCCCGAAACGTTGGGCTTTGCCATGAAGCTGACGAATCAATGTTTGCTGAGCAGCTTCCAGTTCATTCGCAAGATGCCCGGTCATGCAGTATCCTGGACAATAGGATCTGGTTACTAAGCCAACAACCTCCGGTTTTCACCACTCGTTTCGTCCGGGAAACACTGATGCTGTGGAATCTAAAAAACATGAAACCCAAAGGCCTTTGAGAATGTAGGGGATCGATCCGTTTGAGCCGACAAGCTCCGAATGACGGGCTATTGTTATATTCAGCCGCGGCCCCCGGATCTGCTGTTGGCTTGAAGCTTTGTTTTGCATGTTTGTGTCTGCTGAAAAGTGTTCTGGACTATTAACCCTCGCTTTTGCTTCACTTGGAGACAGATCCAAGAAATGCCCTCCAATCCGGTTCACATCACAGGTCGGAGAAGTCCGCATTGCCCCTGTAAGAAGGGGTATCTCACCGTCGCGGCAGCCCCTTGTTCGAGCGTCAGGAGTACCTTGGCGCGGGATATGAGGCGCACTTCGCCTCCGCGCCGTTTGCTCTGCGCATTGGTGCTGCCTGCAGCAGTTTGTGGATCTGAGGCTTATCAACCTTCGTGGATAGTCCGCTTCAGTTTTTGCCTCATAGGTCGTTGCGACTGCGATTGTTGTGGTCGGATTCAAGCTCTAACGCTGCACCAAACAAGCCGCAGAAGAACCTGCTTCAACCCTCTCAATTCCTGGACGCATCGCGTGCACCTTGCTCTAAGGGCTAAACCCCAACACCTTAGCCGTATCCTCAACAGGCATACCAGATGGACCACGTCCTTTGATATCAGTCTTTCTGCCCCTGATCAACATGAAGGTATTGTGTTTGGGGTTTCTCATACGGTCAGGCTTCAAAAAGTTCCAGGACCCGCTCCTTAATCATATTCGAGCACGAAAGCCCTGCCTCGAGGTTGCGTTGAAAGTTTCACGCTTTCAAAGTCCCAAAAGTTAAATCCGAACAAGCCTGAATTGGGAAGACCCCTCCGCCCAAGAAATTAGGTTCTTTCAACAACCCCTAACATAGGGGCTTGCATAATTACCAATATTATTTTGGGGGCTCCGTCTTATAAATAGAGTATATCGGGCCCCAAAACCTTCATCTAGTAATTAAGGCCCCTAAACCCTAAACCCTTATAGTAGCCCTTATGGAACCCTTTATAGGAACTCCTAAAACCCTCTTCTAATTATTAAGGCCCCTAAACCCTAAACCGTTATAGTAGCGCTTATGGTACCCTCTATAGGAACCCCCAAAACCCTCTTCTAATTATTAAGGCCCCTAAACCCTAAACCCTTCTAAGTAGCCCTTATAGAACCCTTTAGGGAACCCCCAAAACTCTCTTCCATACTTCTCAAGGCCCCTAAACCCTAAACCCTTATAGTAGCCCTTATAGAACCCCTTTAAAGGAACCCCCAAAACCCCTCTTCTATACTTATGAAGGCCCCTATACTACCGGCCCTAGCTCGTTGTCGCGACAGCGTTCCGGCTGCCAGGCCTCGTCAACACGGCTGAGCGCCTGGATGCCTGGGTGGAGAGGTGGGTTTAGGGGTTTAGTGGGTTTAGGGCTTTGGGTTTAGCGGTTTAGGGTTTAGGGGTTTAGGGGTTTCTAGGGTTTA